CGCCAACCGCCATGGTCTCTGACCCTGCCTGCCCTCCGTCCGTCAGGGGCGTGGCTGCCCTTGGCAGTGACGACCAACGAGGACAGACAATATGAGCTTGCTTTCCTGTCAGAGGCTGCTCCCCATCTCTGTTCCATGCTGCTAGTCCTTGAGGGTGACTCAGATGCCCTTGACATCCCGACCCCTCGCCACCTACGCTGAGGCCCACCTCGGGATCCTGGGCCTCCTCAGTGGGATAGCTGTCATGGTGCAGGAGATGGCATCTTGGAGATCCACCGGTACCTTTGTCTGCGCAGTTCCCCCACCCTGGGGTTAACGTATAGTTGATGGCCGATGGCCCTTCAAGGTGAAGTGCCCTCCTGGAGAACCGCCTGTCTTCAAGGCGCGCTATGTTGCTCGTGGCTTTAGTAAGCGTGAGGGGGTTGACTTCTTTCAGACCTTCGTTCCCGACCCCGAAGGATGAACTACTCTTCGAGCAATGCTACCGTAGCAGCACAGCGTGAATACGAGTTGCACCTAACTTGACTTCTCCATTGCTTTCCTCCAGGGCAGTCTACACGAGCAGGTCTATCTGCGCCGCCCCCAAGGCTTCTCCAGTACCTTTCCTCCTGGTATCGAGTGGCTCCTCCAGCGCCGTGTCTACGGCCTGCGCCAAGCGCCCCGTGAGTGGCACGACACGCTGCGTGCTACACATGCTGATATGCAGTTCTTCCCGTCGTCTGCGGATCCCTTCGTTCTTCGTCCGTTCCGGCCAGGCTCTGTTCTACATCCTTGTTTCCGTAGACGATCTGGTCTTTGCTACTGCAGACAGAGACGTGCTGGCCTCTATGAAGGCCGAGCTGCTGAGGAGACACACCTGCACTGACCTAGGGGAGCTGCGCCGCTACCTTGGCTTGTAGATCACCAGGAACAGAGTAGCGTGCACCATCACTCTCACACAGTCAAACTTGGTGTGCCAGGTCCTTCAGAGGTTCGGCCTTCAGTTCTCTTCCGCTTAGCCCACCCCTCTGCCAGTAGACCATATACTCTCTTCTCCAGTTCCGGAGGAGGCTGTAGAGCCTAGTGGTCCTTACGCAGAGCTGGTGGGTTGCCTCATGTACCTGATGACTTGCACTTGTCCAGATCTCGCATACCCTCTCAGCATCCCTGGCCCACGTTGTGGCCTCCGGCAGACACCGACCACAGCTCTGGTCTGCAGCTAAGAAGGGTTTGTGTTTATCTAGCAAGTTACTGCAGGCATGGGGCTAGTGCTAGGAGGACGCAGACCAGTGGTCCTTACAGACGCTTCTTGGACAGACGACGCCGAGACTCTCAGGTCCTCCCAAGGCTACTGCTTTGGCCTTGGTGCAGGCGCTGTCTCGTGGAGGTCCACCCGCTCGTCGTCTGTTGCCCAGTCTAGCTGTGAGGCTGAGATATAGGCCGGTGCCATGGCGGTGCAGGAGCTCCGTTGGCTGACTTTCTTGCCTACAGATGTAGGTGAGCAAGCCTAGCTAACAACAGGGCCATGATCCTCCTGTGCCATGAGCCCAGACTAGAGGGCAAGGCGAAGCACATCCAGCTGCAGTACTTCCTCTTGCGCGAGCTACAGCAGCGTCGCCAGGCCCGCGTAGTACACTTGGCCTCCGGTGCCAACATAGCTGATATATTTACGAAGGCGCTTGCGCTTAAGATGATCAGCGGCACTGCGTACAGCTTGGACTCAATCCTATAGCACCTCATTTGCTAGGACATTGATGGTGTAGACTCTTTATATGTTATCCTGACTGGCCTTATGGCTTTCTCCCAGTGGCTGGACTAGTAATGCGGCCCTGGTCTTGTTCTTGCCTTGTTTGTACTCTTTTGAGTGGTCTTTATACCCCTGCCTCAGAGGTTGGACTAGTAGTGCCGCCCTGAGCTGTGTGCTTCTTGCTCAGCACCTTACCCTTTATGCATACAGTTGCATGTATAAGTTATAGGATAGAATAGGTGTGTGTTCTTAGATAGTACAACCCACTAGCTATATACCCCTTTAATACTCTCATTCTATTCAACACTTCTAACTCTGAGACTTTATGTGTCCCAGCAGGGCCCCAGTTTCCTTACGAAAACTCTCGCGAAATAAACAAAGTTGCAAGCTTCTGCACCCAATCATTTCATTTGTTTTGTTGAAAGTACATCAAAAGACTTAAGCGTTTCTGAAGTGTAACACTACACTCGAGGAAGATTGCAAGGGGTACGCGAGTCAACGGAGGTTACACGAGGGGCGGACAAAGACACGAAGGGTTTTGGGGACTCAAAGGTCGCAATTGGAGGTTGCGACTGACGTTACAACAGCACGGATGGTAACCGAAGCGACAATCGAGTCGCTGTACGACTCGATAAACCGCTACTGCAACTGTACTCTACAACTGTTTCTTATCTTCTATATATTGCTGTATGTTTGCCTTTTTATTATCACTTGTTCTCACATACTAGTACAAGGGTTCAACTGCCTCAAACTTCCGCTGCACTACCCCAAGTCTTTTACAGTTGGGACTTAGTCTCTGGAAAGATCCCAAGGGCTTTTCTCAGCCCAACAGTTTTCGCCACACCTGCCAAGCTCACCTCGCGTTGACTTTGAGTAAGTAATTTGGGACATGGGCTTTAAACAAATAAACACTCCAAATAGCACATGGTTATGCATATTTCCCTCCACACCATACGAAAAGCAAAATTTCTGCATAGTTCATAGGTATTTTGAGGCGAAGTTGGTTCATTCAACCACCGAACATGATTTTCCACACTCTACAGCCCCATCAAACACTTGTGTATGCATCTGGTTATTTTCATTTTGTTTTGATAGAAAAACGGAATGGGAGTTACATTGAAGAATGCCTTCATTTTGCTTTCGCGTTTGCGACAGTTTTTCGAGCGAAGGCCGCTACCGTCGCCAGAATCGCTGAGCCACGAACAATTCACCAGTTTGAAGGTCAGCACACCGCAGTGACCTAGTAACAAGGCTCGTTGAGCATGTGGCAGGGAATGACTTTGGGTGGATCACAACTTTAGGCATTTCGAGTGGTTCTCTGACGTGGCAATGCCTAATTGCTCCTCCCAGATAGCCTACGCTCCCTTCCTGATAGCGATGTTGTGCGGCAAGTTCTTTTACCTGCCCGGGTGGAAAGTTCCGTCACGTAGCTGTCGTTTTGGCCAATAGCAATCTCCGAAGTAGATTGATGGAGCGAAACGGGCAGAAGAGGGAAAACATCGGGAAAATCGTTTCTGGGGGGTCATATTGTCCCAGCTCTCAGAATTCGGTAAGCTCCGAGCATCCCTGTGAACGCATCTGCCCACCTGCTCCTTGCTTCACCCTTCGTTTTCACCAAACTCAAACCGTAGCCATGGCTGCCACCGCCGCTCTCTCCAGCACCTTCTCCGGCGTCGCTCTTCCTACCCTCCCGCAGGAAGACCGTCTCCGTGTCCCGGAGCCTGAAGGTGTCCGCCAGCGGCGGCAAGAAGATCAAGACCAACACCCCCCTGGGTTAGTAGTTGTCTTCCATCAGTTCCTGGTAGCCTTGACAGCTGCGGGATTTTGGAATGTTAAGAACGTTTCCGACAAGCTCTCCGCGTATTTCCTGACAGTCGCTCCGTCGTCCATGCCCGGGCAACCGCGTCCTGATAATCGCACTGGTAATTCATGCATGCAGGCCCAGCGGTGACTACAAGTTCAAGGTGGACCCTCCGGCTCCCCCTCCAAGGGCAAGGGTGCCTACTCCTTCGCCAAGAAGTACGGCGCTAACGTCGACGGCTACAGCCCCATCTGGACCCCGTCGGAGTGGTCCGCCAAGGGTGACACCTACGAGGGTGGTAAGTAATTTACGTGCCGTGTGCTTGCTTTACTTTTGCTGCCCTCAGGCTTTTCTTCCCTTGTTCCGCTGTCTAACATCTGGAGTGTTGACGTTTGCAGGGCAAGGCCGGTCTTCTCCTGTGGTTCCTCACCTTCGCGGCCTTCTCGCCATCGGTGCCTCTCCTCATCGTCAACACGAGCGCCATTGCCTAAATATTTTGCGTAACTTCTGTGTATAGGCAAGGTACTTGTAAACGGGATGCATTCACGATTTTCTTTAAACTAAAAAAAAACATTAACCTTTGAACCAGGCTGGTATGCGTGAACCAATTAACAACCCGCGTGCCTAGTAAAAATTGACCTGTAACCAGCCCTTTCGCAAAATTTTAGTACTGCCTGTCGCTAGTTAAGGGCGTGTCAAATATTGTACGTGCACTTTGAGGATCGTAACCCCTGATAAAGTGCCAAAAATGCCACGCTCGACCCTCAGCCGTAGTCAGGGAACACACGCGGACATTTCAAAGTCCTGCGAACAGAAAAACCCCGGAAACTCCAGCAGGTGGTCCACATCCAGGGCTAGAGCAAGCGAAATAATGTCGACGGAAAAATCAATGTCACGAAACTTCGCATGTCGCCAAGCAAATGCTCCCCAAGGGTGGAAAGCCTACTGGACACGGCTTCGGCTAGGTGGTACTCCGTTACCCGCCATCCTGCCCTCCCCAAGTGCCCCTTATTGTGGGAACCCGTTTCTAGACCCAGGTACGTTTGCGAAATCAATTCGCATTTCGCGACGTTCGACGTCTCGCCATGTCCAAAACGGCAAAAACGATTTTTTGGGGGACACGCCCTAAGGCAATGGCTGACAGATGACTTCCTCCGCGCCTTTCGCTCAGACCAATGGCACACACCACCAGCAAGGCACTGGATCCCCTGCGCAGCTAGCTATCTGGGGTTACCAACATGATTTCGAAATTCGCAAGCTATGGACTGGTCCGCAGCTGCAGTTCCTCCTTCGCTTCCCGTCCCCTGCACACTCCCCTCCCCTCTCTCTTTGCAGCCCCTCGGACCCGAGCCACATCTCTGACCATCCCCGTAGCTGCATCGCGATGCGACCTGATCTTCCAAATACGGCGCGCCACATTTGGGAGTGGGTTGCTTATAAACCCCAGCCAACCGCTCTAGGCCCAACATCGGCTCACAACAAACCAGCATCGGCAATTCCAAACACACTTGCATCCACTTCAGACAATCCACGTAGCCATTGTCTGGGCCTTTTGTTAGGACAACTACTGCAAACAACTGCTAAGAGAAGGTACCGCGATTAATACCCAGACGTGATTAGTTGAGTCCACCATGAGAAACGGCGGCCCCACAATCGCGTTGCTGCTGATCTTCGGCGCGTTTCTGCTAGCAGCGCAGCCATCCAGAGGCGCACCACGCCAGTGGTGGCGTAACGGTGCCGAGTCCCAGCCTTTTGCGGCGCCCGCCAGAGGCAACGCGGGCAAATTCCAGGCGCCAGACACCGCCGGTTCTGCCGTGTACATCGTGCGCCTGAGCACGGCGCCCCCCCTCCTCCGAAATACGCGGCGGAATTGCGGGGTACCCCGCCACTGCCACGTGGGACGACGGCAGCGACGAGGAGGAGAACGACGACGACCGCGTGCCGGAGATGCTTCTCGCGGCCGAAGATTCCGGCGCAGCAGGCGGCGAATCCGAGTCAGAGCCCGAGTCCGTCGACTTGGACGACACCAACGCCGATCAGCACTTCCCCAACGCAACTGCGCCAGCGCCAGCAGATGCGGCGCCTGAAACCAGTTCGACTTCCAGCGCACGCGGTGGTCGTGGGAATGGTGGTGGTAGCAGCAGCGGCAGCGGGCGGGTGCGCGCGGCACAGGCTGCATCTGAGCATGGACCGCCCCCAGGTGGCAGCGTTCGCGTCGCTGCTGCAGCGGCAGCAGGCGCAGGTGGCATCTGAGGCGGGCGTGGGCGACGGCGACCTGCTGTACAGCTTCAAGCACACGTCCAACGGCTTTCGCCGCGCGCCTCACCCCGCGCCAGGCGTGGCGCCTGCAGCGCCATCCCGCCGTGGCGTCCGTGCGCCGCAGCCGCGTGTTCCAGCGGCGGACCAGCGACTCGCCCAAGTTCCTGGGCTCCCCCGGAAAGGTGTGGCCCGCCGTGGGCGGATAGAGCAAGGCGGGCGACGGCACGGTGGTGGGATCATCGACACGGGCATCTGGCCCGAACACCCCTCGTTCTCCGACAAGGGGTTTAGTTCGAACTTCCCCTCTGGGTGGAAGGGTAAATGCGAGCAGTCCAACTCGTTCCGATGCAACAAACAAGGTGATCGGCGCCAAGGCGTTCTACACCGGGTTTCAGCGGGCCAGCGGCAAGCCCGCGCTGGCGAACGACTGGCTCACGCCACGAGACGCGGACGGGCATGGCACGTGGTGCGCGGGCGCGGCGGCGGGGAGCCCGGTGGGCTGCAGGGCGGCGGGCAGGTGAGCGGCATGGCGCCGGCTGCGCGGATCGCGGCGTACAAGGTGTTCTGGACGGACCGCAGCAGCGGGGAAATGTATGCGGACGAGTCAGACATCATCGCAGCCGTCAATCAGGGCGTGGCGGACGGCGTGGATGTGCTGTCGCTGTCCCTGGGGGCATGGATCCCAACGACAACTATTTCAACGACCTGGCTTTTATGCGGGCCAACGCTGCGGGGTGTTCATTGCCTTTGCTGCTGGTAATGCTGGGCGCTCCGGGCCAGTCACAGGGGGGTGGTTACCGCACGGTGGACAACTTCGCACCCTTCTTTCTGACTGTGGGCGCCAGCACCATCGCACGGGAGCGTCCCTAGCTTCGGCAGCAGCAGCAGCCGGCACTCAGTCGCTCCCCTCAATGCCATTGCCGGCGCCGCCAGCACCAACAGCACTGTCAACTGCAACGGCACTGGCAGCGGCAACAGCACAGGCAACGGCACCATGCCAGGTGATGGCAGCGGCACCACTTTCACTGCCGACGGAGGTATCACCTTCGCCACCTCCTCCTCCTCCGCCCGGTGGTTGCTGACTTCTCGTCCCGCGGCCCCCCCTCATACCGCCCTCTGCCACGGCCCAGCCCCCCCAACCAGGCAACGCCATCCTCAAGCCCGACATCATCGGCCCCGGCGTGGACCTCCTAGCCGCCGCTCCTGGGAAGAAAAATCGGCGACCCGGCGCCCTCGCCCGCCTCTCGGGTACTTCCATGGCCACCCTCATTTGGCGGGGCTGGCCGCGTTAATTATCCAGAATCCCCAACTGGAGCCCGGCGCAGGTGATGTCGGCGATGATGACGACGGCGCGGGTGACTGACACGAGCAGCAGCCCCATCAAGAGCTCCACTGGCGGGGATGCCACCCCTGGGAGATGGGGGCAGGCCATGTGTTCCCCCTGCCATGCTCAACCCCGCCTCACCTACGACGCCCGAGACAAAGACTACCAGAATTTCCTGGCCGGGCAGGATCTGACCCGGGCGAAAAAGGAGTTCCCAGGGGTGTCCCTCTCCCCCCTGGCTGTGCGCAATCTCAACCTTCCCACCATTACTCTACCGCGCCTGCAGGCTCGATTCAGGTGACTCGCACGGTCACCAATGTGGGAGGGGCCCAGTCCACATACAGTGTATCTGGGAAGGCGCCAGCAGGGGTGAAGGTGACAGTGGCGCCTAAGAGCCTCACGGTTGGTGCCGGGCAGAAGGCGAGTTATACTCTGACGTTCACTGTGGATACACCCAGCAAGGACTTCAAGTACGGGTATATAGTGTGGGCGGATGACCAGGGCCACAGCGTGCGGTCCCCCCTCGTGGTGCAGCCACTCTCGCGCTAAAGGGGGAGAGGTGAGTGCTTGCTGCTCTTGCAGTAAGGGCATGGGTGCTGTGCGGTGCTGTCCTGGCTGCTAGTGGTGCGGCTGATGCTACGGCTGGGAGCGTGTAGTGGGTCATTGGTCCGAAATGTGATGGATGGACACGGGGGTTCAGCCAGGCAAGGGCAAGGGTTGGTTCGTGCTGGCAGCCTCACATGTTACAGGGATGACCTCCGTCCCTGGCCACGTGAAGACCCTGCTTTTAGGCTCCAGCCGGTTGAGGCTATTGCCTACATGTTAGGATGCGACCGTACCACCTGTATACATGGTGCCATTATTTATTCCAGTTTTTGTTGGCACCTCTGGCCTCTGCATGTCCATTTCTCTAGACCAAGAGTGCCATACAGGAGAAACTGCACAGATACTCTTGCTAACTTCCCCATCACTGCTACAATAACTTTTGACAATGTAACCCTATCACTCGATATAGGCGATAGTACACCCGATATTCAGCCTACTCTCAGGCCCGTGCCGCGAAACCAGCGGGCTGCTTGAGAGATATTTCAGCACAGCTGCCCGAAGCACGCCCGTCCCGAGTCCATGGTCAATGAACAGCACGGCACCAGGCGGCCTAGACTGCACTGCCAGGTCCACTTCTGCCTAGGGGCATCCTCCACACTCCTGCCCTAGCGGGATTTGCAACACCAGGCAGCCTAGACTGCACTGCCGCTAAACGTCCACTGTGTTGCATGCTGTCTGCACTGCTGCTTCCCTCACTGCTGGCAGAGACGAAGACGATAAAGTTGAGGAGAGGGAAGATGGGGATGGGAATCGACCCCCTCGCTTTGAGGCGCTGTTGCCATTCGTGTTACTGCTACCATCGATGCCATCATCGTCTTGCTCCCAACGACCATCAAACATCCTGTGCCCCTCTCCTTCCTGCTGCCTCTCCATCAGCCATGGTCTGTGGCCCAGCAGCACTACCAGCATTATCATCAGCTTCCGCAGGAAGCAGGTCTCCTCTCTGCACTCGCAACCTCAGATTTCCTAGCTGTACAGTCACCAGCCGAGCCGCTGGTGCCGAGCCTGGAACCCTCTCCCGAGCCTTCTCTGGACCACAGCCCATTGCCACCACTGTACCACACATACTGCTGCCGAACCTCCTCACATACACCCCCTCCCCCACAGCAGGGACCCAATCCGCTCCTCGTGGATCTGCCGAGCCTCCTGCCAGACCACCAACCGGAGCACCCAAACCTGGAGCAGAATCAGGTTCAGGAAAGAGCACGGTCAGTCCTGCCGCTGCTGCCAGGTCAGCACAGGCCCGGTCGGTTGCTACTCGCTACGGCACACAAGCAAGGGAAACCTCCTGGAAGGAGGCAACGACACTAGAGATCTCCTCCCTCGCTGCTAGCACCTCCTCCTCCTGTCTCTCTGGTACCGCCACTACCACTGCAGCTCTCGAAACGCCAAAGACTGCTCTTTCTGCCTGTTTTTCTGGTCCTTCGTGGTATGTTGGGCTGGGAAGTCGTTGCGAAGCCTCTCTGCGTCTCGCGTGGCCTCTGCTGCTTCCCCTGCAGCCTCCGCATTCCGCTGCCATTGCTGCTGCAGGGACGCCAGTATTCCCAGCTCCTCACCCTCTCCCCCCCCCCTTCCCATGGTGGCATACTCCTTCTCACTCTCCCTCCCCTCCCTCCTCCCGCTCCTCCTCCTTACTTGTCTCACGAGCCAGCCTGGCGGCTCTGGCGAGGACGGGGGGGGGGGGGGGGGGGGGGGGGAAGACTGTGGGAAGCAGCGAGGGAGAGGGCGTGGGAGGTGCCGGGGCGACCCCAGAGGATGTTGACGGAGGGGCGCAGTGAGACTCGGTCAAAGGCCGCACTCGCATTCTCAAAGCGGGGGTCGGAGGACTGCAAGGGAAGAAGAGAAGGGGTGGGAAGGGGTGTTGGGAGGGTGGTGAGAGGGAGAGGGGCATGAGGGAGGGGGGTTGGGAGGTGCCAGGGAGACCCCAGAGTATGTTGAATGACGTGGGCAGGGAGACTCGGTCGAACACCACACTCGCATTCTCAAAGCGGGGGTCGGAGGACTGCAACGGAAGAAGAGAAGGCGTGGGAAGGGGGTGCTGGGAGGGTGGTGAGAGGGAGAGGGGCATGAGAGAAGGGGGATGGGAGGTGCCATGAAGACCCCAGAGTATGTTGAATGACGGGGGCAGGGAGACTCGGTCGAACGCCACACTTGCGTTCTCAAAACAGGAATTGGTGGGCTGCAAGGGAAGAAGAGAAGGGGTGGGAAGGGGGTGTTGCTGGGTGGAAGCCAGTGTGAGCCATCATTGGTATGCGCCTGGTGTCACAGTGTGACCCTCCAATGGGTCATTCAGCCGCTGTTTATCATACCTTGAGCTTCTTGAGGTCGGCGTAGTCAGTGGTAGCGAGTGTGAGCCAAGGTGCAAAAAAACGGCATCCGTATTAAACGGTCCGTTTTAAACTGCCGTTTTTTACGGTGGGTTTTGGTAAAAAACGACGTTTTTTTGTTAGACTTTTTTTCATGATTTTTTTTTAATGTATAAAAAGCACGCGTAAACAAGTGGCCTGATTGCTAAGGCGGCCTGCATCGTTCTACGGGGTAATTAGCGGCTTTGAAACAGGTATGTGATGTCCATGCCCCTAGTCCGTCGCCTTCTAGGTCTCATTCTGCTCCTACTCCACCATCCCCCCATCCTCCTCCTCCTAAGCGTCATCCACCTAGTCCTCCCCCCTTTGTCCTCCTCCCCTTAAGCGTTATTAGCTCGGCCAAAAACAATGTACACCGTATTATACAGTGGTACGAAAAAAACGGTCGTATAAAACGGCCGTTTTTTTGCACCAAACGAAAAATGCAACTTTTGACCGTTTTAATCATATTATACGACCGTTTTATACGATCCCATTTTAAACGGTAAAAAACGCCGTTTTTTTGCACCTTGGTGTGAGCACTTCACATCCCGCCAGGTGTTTCAAAAGGGCAGCTGCGAGTGCAGCACCGTCTCAGGGGCCCACCCCTGCCCACCTCTGTTCATGAAGCCACACACTGCACTCAAAGACTCGCCTTGAGCTTCTTGAGGCACATACCTTGGTTGGGGGTTGTTGATGGGGTCGTAGACCTGTGACGACCCCTCAGACCTTGGTCTCTGCCACTTCCACATGCTCAAACACTCACTCTGGGCTTCTTGAGGTCGGCATAATTTTGAGGAGCTTCAAAAGTAATCTCAGTTCACGCAGATTTTATATGGGGAATATATCCATTTCTTGAAGCTGCTCAGAGACTCACCTTGAGCTTCTTGAGGTCGGCATAGTGAGTAGTGGTGAGTGTGAGTCCTTCAGCACCAGCCAGGTGTTTCAAGAGGGCAGCTGCGAGCGCTGCACCCTCTGAGGGATCCGTGCCACTGCCCACCTCGTCCAGGAGCATGAGAGAGGAGGAGGAAGAAGCGGAGAAAGAAGGGGATGAGGGGGAAGGAGCAAGAAGGATGTGTGAGACGCGGTGCATGTGGGCGCTGAAGGTGGACAAGCTCTGCTCCAACGACTGCTCGTCACCGATGTCATCCACCACCCGGTCAAACCATGGTAGCACCGCCACACACCCATTCACACCGCTCTCTCCGCATGGATCCACTACCCCCTCACCCTGTCTCCCTCCACTCTGGTCTGCCTGTTCTTCCTCTCCTCCCTCCTCCCTCCCCCCTCTGCTCCTATTCCCTGCATCCCCTCCATTCCTCCCTCCCCACCCTGCTCCCTCCCCTGCCTCGCCCCCTTGTCAGTGGCATGAAAAGCCTAGCTTTAGCCATGTGTGTGGCAATCCCAAGGGTCTTGCGGGCGGCGGTCTTGCCGCCCGCATTGGGGCCTGAGATGATCACCACTGCGATGCTAGGCGGGACAAGCACGTCTATGGGCACAGGCAGGGCTGGCATTCCTGCTACATCCTTGCGTGCTGCTCCTACAGCTCCTGTGCCTCCAGCCGTTCCTGCTCCTCTTGCCTATCCTGGAGCTCCTGCAGCTCCTGTTGCTCCTGCGGCTCTTGTGCCTCCTTCTGCTCCTGGTGCTCCTGCTGCTCATGCTGTTGCCTTAACGCCTAATGCACCTACGATGTTGACGAGAAAGCCCCGCCCTCGCTTGAGTGGGCACCTCGTCGTGCGCAACACCCGTGCACACCTAGTTCTGGTTGGCGTGACGAACCGGGGAGCGTTGCATTGCAACGCAGTTCAAGCCGCAGGTGTGATCGGCAAACTTGCAGTACAGTGGCAAAGTCCAAGTTGGCGAAGTTCAAGTCGGCGAAGTTCAGGTTGGCGAAAATCTGAGTAGCGAATTTCTGCGCGGCGAACTGCAAAGGCGTCGAAACTGCAAAGCGGCAAAACCGCAACACCACATCCAGCGTGGGTGTTGCGGAACAATTGCGCAACTGAGCACATTCGTTGCGAAACAAAAGTGTGCGAATTTCTCCACTACGGAATTCGCATGCGATTGAGACATTGGAGCCACCTGACCGCATTTGAGTAGCAGTGCAAATGTGTACGCAACGAACCGGTTAGACCCTGAGCACCTACCATTGTCACATGCGTAGTTAGGAAACCTGGACATGTGCGCATGGACAGCTTTTCCTCATGCCATCATTGAATTCGCAAAGCGTAGCTTTGCCACGGTTTGGGACAGCGCAACATTATGGCTGTTGGGCTGAGAAAAGCCCCGAGGATCTTTTCAGAAAACGAAGTCCTTGTAACAGAGTGCTTGATAGCACAGTTGTATTAGTATGTAAGAACAAGTGATTGATTATAGCAAAGAGATACAAGGGTTTATTTAATAATAGAAGAGAATACAAAGAGTCTAATTGATTATGCACTTCGAGGGGTACATTTCCTTTATGAATCGATAAGAGCGACTCGGGTAACCACCCGTACTGTAATACCGGGACGGTTATTTGTCCTTGCTGTCATGCTCACTTGAATCTTGTACTTTTGATTGTTGAGTTGCGAGGTCAACGGTCTGCGATCGTTGCCCTTTCGTAACCTCTGCGAGGTGTCGTTAGACTACGTCAACCGTCAAGGATACTGTAGCGATCTTGACTCGGTAATCTTCGATGTGTGTCCTTCGCGTAATTGTTATAGTTACGCGATACTCCGGAAATGTGCTGAAGTCCTTCTATCCTTTCCAAGAATGGCACCGCGCAGCGGTGTGGAACAGCACAGCGTTGCGACGCAGCGCATTGCGACTAGTTGTTCTGGGGATCTTAGGTGTCACAGGACCAAATTGATCGAGGAAAAAATTCACTACCAATCGATAGAAGGCGCAATAATACTTCCAAGGTATA